ACATTAATGACAAATATTTACTTTTAGAAATTTACGAATAATGCCAAGTAATTTAAATAAACCGTTTTTGAAGAAAAAAATTAGCTTTCGTGAGTTTGTAGATATCGTCAAGCAAGGCAGAAGCACTAAATAGACAAGCAAATTTAATCCAAAGTATGTGTGGCAATATGTAATTAACACTTTAATTTGACAGTAGTACTTAAAAAGGACGAGGTACTCAAGATGTCAACAGAAATTTCAATTTTTAGTTAGGTTAGGTTAGGCACAATCTATAGTCTATGGGCAGCGGTTATCACTTAACATCAGGTGAACCTCCGGCTCGTTTGCATCTTTCTCATATTAAAAAAATAGACGGCGAAGCGCTGTTTGGACGTGGCGTGCACGGCTTTGTAAAGAGCAATATGCACGCAAACGCGTCGTAAGAGCAATTTATTCAAAGCCTGGATGCAGCGACGGTGGGGAAGACTCACTTACACACTTACACAGATAATCACTGGGCACGGCTGCTTCGTTGATTATCTGTGTAGAGAACGAGAAGCGACAGCGATGTGCTACCACTGTGGTGGGGTGAGCCAAGATTCCGCAGACCATACGCTTGCGATATGACCTGCATGCGTAAAGAAGGGGTGGATCCTGGAGAACTAAATTGCACAGAGCCTTTCTCCGACAGCAGTTATTTCTGCAATGCTGTCCGGGAACCCAGCGTGGAGCGCCGTAGCCTCCTTTTGTGAGACCGCTATGATCCAAAAGACTGCTGAACGTGATCGGTAAGAACTCAACCCACCAGCCGTAGACGTCGTCGCCAGTTAGCTGGTGCTGCAACCAAGGATAGCTCCGTTAACTGAAGGGCGCAGCAGGCGATCATGATCTTCATCTTTGCGCATGTACTTATGGTAGTGAGTATATCCCCGAGCCTGGGCTACTTAGTAAGTCAGATTGCCGCGGTTGCGTTCCTTTAGGAGATCTCGTGCCTGTATATCAGGACTAAAGATGAGTAACGTGGGATTTTAGTCGGTAGGAAACCGACATAACCTGTCTGGAGTAGACAGGGTATGTCTCTTGGTAGATATCGTATACAGGATTTCTCCACGGAAAAAAGGCAGAATCAAAATTAGTTACTTATTAGTTTTGGAACTTAGTTATTAAGTCTTAATAATTTAATTATTCACTTTTCTGTTTCTTTTAGGGAAATTTTAATTTATATTGCTATTGAAAAGTTTTTAATTATATTATTCCATTGCTATCTACTACAAAGTTATTACAACAATCAGGGAAAAAATGTAGCAGAAAACAACTTAAGGGCGTCAGTAATAAAAATTGTTTACGATGGTAAAGCTATAAACTTCGCAGATATACCTTTACTGTCTGTAACTGGTATCCTGTAGATTTTAAGAGCGGGTATGAATTTTATAACAAGTCAAATATAAAGGAAAAGTATGCCTCGACAGCTTTTATTCTTGATCACAGTAGGCGGGAGGTGAAGGAAATCAGTACACACAGTAACAAAGTCGGCAAATTAACTATTTTTATTAATACAATCATATTGGCTGAAGTCATCATCATCATTTCAGCTTGTTTGAGTCCACTACTGAACATAGGCCTCCCCCATAGACTGCCACGAAGTACGATTGGCTGAAGTGTCGATAAGGAAATCATTAAAAAGCTCATATAACTACTATGTGTTTATTATGATAAACGTATATAAATAATAATTTTTAGGGTTCCGTACCAAAAGGTGAAAACGGGACCCTACTATTAAGACTCCGCTGTCTGTCTGCCTGTATCTCATCAACCGTGATAGTTAGTTAAAGTTAGTTATTTTAAGACCAATAATTCACCAATGAGTTAAAATATTTTGTTACAATGACGGTATGAACTGTAAACTTTTTCATGTCAAATTTACAACGAACTAAATTGTATTTCCATTAGATTCACTACGATCAAAGTAAATAATATGTAGTAATTTTGCTTTAAATCGATTTGTACTTGTCTTGGTATGAGTCTGAATATGAAAATGAAAAATGTTTATTAAAATATAGGTTTGCAATTAGACATAGTAACTCCCACTTGGCGCAGCCTGTCCTATGGGGGAAGTTAACGATTTCCGCAATATCCTATTTGCGATACTGTTATTACAAATTCTGTAACAGTACGTTGACATCATAACGCTTACGATAATTTTACGGCAGATTTGTTATCAAAAGTTATAATAAATGTAGTTGATTATGTAATATGATGTTCTAATTATGATAATAAATGGAAAATTTCCAATATAACTTCCAAATATATCTTGTTAAAATGTTAAGAGTCGTAATTAGAAGTATGTAAATTTTTTGATGTGAACTGTTTTAACAAGCAGGTAAATGGGTTTTTTAATGACATATAGCACTGCCAGTTTATTTAGATTGAACCGTCGTCGTTTCGCAGTAGTTAAATGGTGGGAATGGTTCTTTTATGTTTGCTCGCACTCTGTTGACCTAGTTTACATTCGAAGCGTTTTACAATTCCCTACATAAATCTGATTATATTAATTTACAGTTCAAGCTCATATACTTTTTTTAGTTTATTAAGGTGTAATTCTTGTTTCCCTGAGAGAAAATGACTTACTGATCTTATATTTGTTAAATTACAATGATGATGATTGTCTGAATTCCAAATACACAATTTTCACACAATGACGTTTTACAATGATAGGGAATCTTTTGAGGATTCCTCCCCTGATACCTGAAAAAAAGATAAACAAATTTGCCAAATATGCCATATTTCCTACCAGTTACATTTATAATGCTAGGGTCGCATAGTTATTTATAAAGATATTATTATATTATATTATAAAGATACAATCTATCACAGCTGACAACTCTATCGGTTTACAATTTACTTAAAGTAAAAAAAAAAGCATCAGCCTATACATGTCCCACTGCTGGGCAAAGGCCTCCTCTATACAGAGGGTATCAGGGCATAGACCCCCACGCGGCTCCACTTCGGTTTGGCGGACTTCACATATCTTAGAAATATATATATTTTTTGTTATTATTTCGAAAATATGCATGTTTCCTCACGATGTTTTCCTTCACCGCGGAGCACTTGATAAGTCAGCATTTAAAGTTAAAAACTTCATTGGTGCTGGCACCGGGGATCGAACTCAGGTTGCTCGAGTAAATAGAATTAAAGGCGAGCGCCCGGACACTGAGCTATCACGGCTCAATTTACTTGTCAATATAAAAAGAAGTACAAACTTTCACATCACAATGTAACTATCATCAAATTCAGAAACATTTTGTTAGATCTAGAGTACAACAGGTATCAGCTATACAGATTTATTGACCTTTTTGATACGACACAATATCAAAAATACTTTGACATAAGAACATACAAGAATTTATTATTGAGAAGCAACATTTGAATTATAATGGTCTACATTCGGTTGGCGCAATGCGCACTCATGGGAACTTGAATTTTAACTTACAATAATATTCTAGTTAATGACTGGATGGCGCCGTTGTTAAGCTATTGGCTTCAGCGTCGGGGGTCCTGGGTTCGATTCCCATTCGGGGGAAGTATTTGTGTGACCCACAGATAATTGTTCAGGATCTGGGTGTTTTTTTCACAAGGTGAGTTGACATCATGCAGGCGGCCGGTCAGAAAAAAAATAGCCAATACCTCTTACAACATGCTTCGCAAGTAGTGCCGACCGACCCCACCTAGATGCGATAAGGGTAGGAGAATGATGAATAATATTCTAGGAGATGCACTTCCACATGGAGTTTATATCTTCGAATAATTATGTATAAAATTTTGACTGTAAATTACGCGCAGTAGCAACAGTAGTCGTATAGACTCTACCATTTAAAATGTACAAGGGTACATTATACTACACTTAATAAGAATGCCATCCCAAACATATTATTTTTTTATTGGAGACGGAGGCACGTAAGCTGGCGGTTCACCTGATGTGAAGTAATAACTGCAGCCCATGGACATTTGAAACATCCGTAGGGTTGGAGATGCGTTACCTTTTATTAACGTGACTCACTCACCAGACGATACGCAGACGTATAATAAAACTTCCACTTCACGCCGGTATTCTGTTAGGTCATGGACTGCTGCGTGGTCCTACCACAGTTAATGCGGCTGTGTTAAAACAACGCTTTGTATTTCTATCAATTCGACTATATTGTGAAAGCAATGCACCAGGCTATGTTAAATTTCGGCAAGCCATTATTGTGGCACAGTTGCCGAGCTCCTTTTCGTGGGTTTGAACCGTTTGCACTTTTACTATTTATCGAGCAAAAATTTTATCCCAAATAAATATATTTTTCTATTTGAGAAAATGGCATTCATCTTATAACAAAGTGGCCCCCGGCTACCTCACTCATCAAAAGAAACACAGAAGTATAATACTTTCACTTCTCGCAGGTATTCTATGAGATCGTCGTTCTTATCCGGATGAACAGGCCATTCGTGCAACAGTGAAGGCTGTTGGGTGCCCCACCACTTTTATTGTTTTTACCTGTAAGGATAAGTCAAGTAATTTCAATGATGTGAGTCGATATTTAAAATGTTAAAATGTAGGACAAATTAGCGGAATACCTAGTCCTATTACCACTGCTAATAAGCAAAAAAGCTTTAAAATAATAAATGTAAAAGTTGAGGCAATTTCATGAATGTTTGCAATGAATGGCTGCAATTAGCTAGTTCATACTGCGAATGTTTCAGGCTAAATCGAAGCTCGATGGTACTATTTGTAACAATGAAAAAAATAATTAGACTTTCAATCTGTTTGAATGAAAAACGAATTTTTTCGCAATACATTTCAGAGGTTGAATCCGTGGATTTTGCATCAACAGAAAAGTTCATAAACAAACACATTGACTGTTACAACTAAATTGAAAATTCGAGTTAATTACCCTAATTAATTACACTTCGAAAAATCTCTGTCGGTGACAACCCCCTAAATTTCTACAGAAAGATTAAATACGGCGTACTAAGTTTTCTATATGATGGTAAGTTTGTTAAATATTTATACTTTGTATGTGTCAGACGTTGCGGGGTTTCAGTGTTAAAAGGATTACGATTAGTTGAATAACATTTGTCGATATTCGCCGGCTGACGACATCACAATAGGATTTTATATTAATTGGGAATAATGTTATAAGCAGTTTAATGAATTTATAAATAACATGTGTACAGGATTAATATTTAAGTATAAACAGAATAATAAAAGTGGGAAATGTAAATGGATTATTACTTATATATTCTCATAAAATGTGTGCTCTTGACAATATTCAATGTAAAAAGTAATCGGATCAATACCTACGTTTAAAACTTTTTTTTTCTATTTTAATAAAATCAAAAGCACACTAGCAACACATCGCACATTAACAGGGCATAGAATATTTCTATTATTATTTGTAACATAAAATTTTATCTACGTACATAGCAAGGTGACGGTCATTTAAAACGTCAATGAAATCAGAGTTAGTAGAATCCATTGGATTTTCACGAGAAGTCGTAATGTGTATCCGTACATTCTACGGCGCAGTATGCACTCTTGTGGCTGATGTGGATTGGGAATGGGAAATACTAAGAGCTTAGCAGTTGCTCGTGAACCGTCGTAGCGGCTGGTTACGCTTCATGTTGTGAATTCAGCCGTGAAATTTGCGACCGTGCACGCGTAATATTTATTTAGAACGTCCGAACCGATACGGCATTTTTTAGTTTTCATTTGTGTTGGTTTTCTTGTGCTTACTTTTGTTTAAAAATGTTTTTTCTAAGGTTTTTGTCTTTATTTATTTAGTGGAAGGAGGATGTAAGTAAGGGTTTCATATTTTTATTATGGTATATAATGTAGGTCATTTTTTTTCTTTGTACAGATATCATTTAAAAATATTTATTAATCCTTTTATAACAATTTAAAATAGACATTTCGTGCAATTGAGAACAGTAACAAATGTGCAAAAATTTCTGCCTCTACTTTCTTAACTTCTCCTTAAATTTTATTTGTGATAGTTGTTCTTGTTCGAAGTAAGTGATTTCTTTGATTTTTTGCTACTAAGAATATTTTTAGTATTATACAGCTTTGCTTATTAATTTATTTTAGCATTAGAAATGAAAAAAAAATTAAAAAATTGCTCAAATAGAGATAAATTCGATATAGGAATGAGAGTTAGGATTTTCTCAAATTACCGAAGCAGTCGTTTGGCAAATCGACGGCTTGGTTGCCAATTCCGATTTTCTGACGGCCACACACATAATAGTAAAAAAATTACATAGATCTTGTTATATGATATATCTCAAAAGGAAATGATTAGTTGTAAATATAATATATATAAGTTTATAAATTGCGATTAAATTTGTGGTATTCAAAATGTCGTAGTAATATAACGTTTTCTCTCTAAACGCGCACGTTCCGTTCCACTAATTTAATTATCGTAATTGGATAACAATAACGAAGTGATCGACTAAAGGCTGAGCGGTCTTCTATAATATTGCATAAAAAACGATATATTTCTCTATTGAAATGGCCATTGGGCATATTTCCGTTTTGTTTGCTTTTTACGTCACAAGTTTAATACATTTTTTGTTAATTTTTCTATAAATTATAATAGACCCGATGAGCACTGGGAGTTTTAATAAACTATAAATGTTATGCATATGACTTTTAGGAATAACACGCATTATCGCCTTTTATTGGGCCCTTTCCTGACCTATTCCATCACAAATGATTGTAATCAGCGTGTCCTTAACAATGTTAAGACCTCTTCCAAAGATAATAATACTACAGAAATATCTTTAGGTCTCGATTCACAATGGCCCAGCGGTGGATTACTTTCACACATCGAAAGCATTCTGTTAATTCCGAATCCGGGGGATTGTCGTTTTCGCAGGATCGTTTATTTTGGGTGTTAGAGCGACAAGAGCGTTGACTCAGTACGATTACGATTTAAATATAGGCGGGGGCGAGATGCCAAATCATCGGGGAAATGCTCGGGATCGACCCGTCCAGAACGCGAACGAATCGTTAGATCGTTTTGCGCAATCGAAACTAATTGGCCCGAATTAATTACCCACACGTCGATCGGTGGCCGTTGAAGAATTAATCAAACCTCATTCAATATCCAGCGCGGTCAATCAAAATAACACCAAAATATACCTAATTTTCTACACAAAGGCTTAAAAAATAAATAAACGCAGTATATAAACGGGACCTTTTTTCGAACAATGTCTATTGAGTATAAACATAATATAGGTATTGTTTAAAATGGAAAGGAATATATAGTTATATAAAATTTTATATTCATAGATTAATTTCGTAATCATTTGGTGTAAAAAAAAATAGCATATGCTCAAAAATACGTTTTATTTGTGAAATCGTTATGATAAATGGTCATCACATAACGCGGGATTTTACAGGTTGAGATGTTTTAGCATATAATACAGCGTTGGGTGAAATGTGTAATATCATACAAGGGAAGACACTTTTTCTTTTTTAACACAGTCTACATTTTATTGAAAAATTAAATATCTTATGGCCCCTCACGTTTCTTAACAACGCAGAAGTGAATGTCACGTCGTTTAAGTTTCAATCTGTTTCAATTTTGTTTTTCATTGTATCGTTTTGAACAGAACGTTTTAGATGAATGCCGCTGACAGGCGTAATTACGATTTGTCGTCAAGTTATTCAGTCATTTTAAAAATGAGGTCGAAATATAAACAGTTTGGTCTTTATTTCTATGGAAGGTACCGGTTTATTTTTATAATTCGTGCTGTCCTCGTCTCTCTTGACATTGAGATACTGAACTAAACGCCTATCACTTGCTTCTTATTGAAGTGGTTCAATGTTAACGAGGTGTTTGGATTAGATGTACGTTATTCAATGTATAGGTTATAATGTTTTAGTTCTATTGTAAGCAAATTACAATAGCTATAATTATTTTATTTTCAATTCTTGACACTTAAAAGAAAATTCAACTATTTTAAATATTATGAACTCGTCGTTTCGTTTATCTTACCGAAAAACACGAAGAGTTACTAAAAAACATGTTTATTCGGTAGAAGAACTTCACTACGTATAGGACATAATATCATCAGCATTTATTAGATATCCTGTATATTGCATTTAGGATTTGGCTCATCATGCCGTCAACATTCAGACGTAAGATTGTGGCATTGATGTATTGTACTACCCTGAAATGGTTTTTCTTCTTTATTAAAAAAGTACCCATGTTTAAGTTAGAAAGTATTTATCGTTTACTATAATAAGCATAATATGACTTTTAGCGTGAAACGCTAAAAGATTGATTCATCTTCTGATAATAATCGAGTGTCATTCGAGATATTAGTTTTTATTATTTATTGGGCAACATCCTAATCCGGTTTGGGTACATGAGCCTAAATAAAGTTCCACGCACTTCGATTACTGAAAGTGGCAATACAAGGGTGTGTTTAGTCACGGAATGGTGTTATAGAGGTGGATAGAATTTCAGTCAACTTTTATGTCTTTCTATTTATTATTTATTGATTCAATAATAAGTAAATCATGTCGAAGCGTATATATCTAAGTTGTCTTGTTATATTGCTTCTCAATTATCTATCACGATTTAATACATGTGTCATTGCGTTATGCTCATTTATATTGCATATTGTAGTTTAAATGTCAGATCAGCAATATAAAGTTACACATGGAATTTTCTAGGAGAATATCACTCATAGTTTGTTGTTGTCATAACAAATTTTTAAGAAAATATGTTCACGGTAGGCATACCTTTTGCGTTGGTAAAGTTTTTAAGTATAATTTATTTATAGAAAAAGTATAATACGACACGAAATTGTTAAAGTTAGCTTATAGGCTTTGCTGGCGGAACTCATAAATTAACAAAGTTTTCTTATTAGGCGTAGGGTTGAAATAACTAAGCTGGGTGTGACGTTCCTATAGTACGGAGCAGGTTTCCAAATTTGTTTGAATGCATCGAAATTTTGTTCTGAATATAAATATATACGGATATCTACGTCATCATCATGAAGAGTTTGTGTAAAACGATGATGGTGATAGACAAAATACGATGATAAATTCAAGCGTAAAGGCCTTGAAATAAACTTTGTGAAAAGATAACTTATTTACAGTGAGTGGTGATCAAACTCGTAATCTGTCGTAACGCGTAATACTGGGGATTGCCTGAAAATGGGCTATAAACGCTGTTTCTAATAATCTGATTTTATTAATTTATATTGCAAGCGCTGTTTGAATTTTTAAACAGTGTCTTTTTTTAAATCTTAGAAATTATTCTTTAATATTTGTAAAGGAAACTCAACTACTTTATTTTTGATGAGCAGTCTAGTGTAAATTTTTTTTCACTGTAGTAGGGTGACACAGTAGCTTTTGGTGTTGCATGGATGATCGTCCGGGGAAGTACTGCGGTCTTATGGAAGACTGATTTTTTTTTTTTTTTTGGGCTGGATGAGCCACTGTTGGCCTTAGGGGCCTTTACAGATCCGACGGACTTGAGGTGGCCTGGCGCACGAGGCGCCTAGCCTGAACCTCGGCGTACTATTATTACGCGTTATGGTGACTAAGCTCGAGGGCTCCCGGGGGAGCCTCGGCTCGGGCCGTCACGCTATTATTGTTACCGGTTTGGGAGGCCGCCAAGCTCTTAGGGCGCTTTGGCGGGCGCTCCATGGAGTGATCAGGCTCAAGGGTCCCCGAGAGGGGACCTCGGCTTGGGCTGTCACTCGTTTAGCATTCCGATTCGAGGGTGCCCGAGAGGGCCGGACCTCGGCTCGATCGGTAGCTATTATCTGACTGGGGGAATTACTAGAGCTAACATTACTACCACTTCGGAGAGCGTTGGCGCTGGGAGAAGAAGTGGCGGAAGAAACTCCAGCAACGCTTCTATCATTAATAGGGGAAAACCTGCCAGGTACGTGGCGGAACCTAGTATATGTTTGCCCCACTCGCCGGCGAGTGCGGTGTGTGTTGGTGTGTTTCTTGAGTTTTTTGATCCTTTCGATGGCGATAGTCGTCTCATCGTCAGGGAAGTCGAGAACGTGACGCGGTCTTCGGTAATCGCGGCGGAAAATATTTAGCGGCAAGGGCCTGTAGGTGACGGCACCTACGATAAGTGGGTTGGGATGCGCGGCGGCGGAATCGAAATATCGGCGCGACGCCGACTTCAGGAATTGCGCGATGGTGGGCAATTCTAGATCGACATGTAGGTCGATATTGCGCATGAACCAGGGTGCTCCCGTGGCTCTGCGCAAGAATCGATTTTGAATCACCTGAAGCCGGTGTATTTGCTTCGGAGCAATGTGAGCGAAGACGGGGCTCGCGTACGTCATGATAGGGCGAACTACTGCCTTATATAAGGTCACCTTGTTCCGAAGGGACATTTTTGACGTTTTATTGAGGAGCGGGTAGAGGCGACCGAGTACGAAGGCCGCCCGGTTCCTGACCTGGGTCACGTGCTGGGTGAATTTAAGCTGGGAGTCGAGGACGACGCCTACATATTTGACTTTATTAACCCATGGTACTGGGCTGTCCAAGAGTTTAACGGGGGGTGGAATGGGTATGTTCTTTTTGTGCGCGAAAAGGACTGCCGCGCTTTTGGCGGGATTGATTTCGATCCTCCATTGCCGAAACCAGTCACCGATGGTGATGGCCGCAGCTTGGAGGCGTCGATGGATCAATTCGGGTGTTCTGCCTGTGGTATAGATACAGGTGTCGTCGGCAAAAAGAGCAAGTTCTACATCTTTGACACGCGGCATGTCATTGGTGTAGAGGGTGAACAAGACTGGGCCTAACACCGACCCTTG